CATCGATCAGACACTGACCTTTCTCTAGTGACGGTGAACGCTTTTCCCTCTCAACCAGGCTCCATGCTTTGAAGGTCTGTTAGGACAACTTTATTACAGACTAGCAGCCATACCCAGCTGGTCGATCAAAAAAGCGTTCAATCAGGATGGAGCAAAAACAGCATCATGTTTAGATGTAACAGAGTTTATCTTCTTCAGTTATTTTAAAGTACTTTCATAAAAATATTATTTTGAATTAATGAAGTTACTGATATAATAGTAGTAGTTTGTATTTTGGAGACACGGATTGAGGAATCGGAGAGCCGAGTTCGAATTCCAGTCGAATCCATTACATTCACTTACGTGCTAATACCCTTGAGTTAGGTATAAATCCTCTTCTTCTCCCTCCGGGTTCTATAGCCTTTGATGGTCTACCGCAGAAAGAAATGGCAACCTACTGCAAAAAAAATTGCCTCGTCAGTCATGTATCGAAATATATATGATCGCCTAAGCGTGTATCACACATGGCACATTGATTGACTGACTATGTATTTATTCAGACGAAGTTAGCCGAGGACATGAAGGGATAAAACAGACAACATGAAGATCCACTTCAGACCACAATTATTAGGGAGTTTTTGAAATTCAATTTTTCAGTGTGGTTGCAAAAGATTTATAAAGCAATTGTTAAGTTTGAGGAAAATTGTTTGAAAGATCAACGAAAAATAGGAAAGAAAACCAGTAAAAATCGCCATTTTTCACTTGTTATGCGGGTTTCAGCACATGGGTGGACTCAAATGTTAAGTTAAATGACTTAAATAATTAACTTATTATTGGCTACAATCGAGTGAAGTTTGTATTAGATTGCTTGAAAATTGAGGGAGTTTTAAGCTTAAAATCTGTGTTGAAATCGATTTACGTTGAAATCGATTTTTCGTTTTTCGCGGTTTTTCAGTGGCATAGCAATAAAAATGAGGTATCGTTTAGCTCGTCATGATGTAAGTAACTTACATACCGAGTTTGAACGAAATCGGAAGAAAAAAGTTGAATTTATCGATTTTTGATCGGCTTTATCGATGATGGATTTTTAAAAATCATCGATCTTTAACGCTGAGTACCTATCTCTTACATTGTACAACGTAAGTACCAAGTTTGGTGAAAATCGGTTGGATTGATCTCGAGTGAAAAGATATCACACAGACAGACAGACAGTCTCTGTTTCATATATATATATATATATATATATATATATATATATATATATATATATATATATGTATTTTAAGCATTTCACCGCAAGCAAAGGCGGGAAGCCACTAGGACGCAAGGGGTTACAGAAAATAGGAAGATCAGATGGAGTGATAGAAGAAAGGATGAGGGTAGTAGATAGATTAAGGCAACTGGAGATGTCGATTGACATTACACTTGAATAGCTGGAGATTATAACTCACAGGGAAACAGGAGAAGGGAAGAGAGTTCCACAGGCGAGAGGTATATAAATATATATATATATATATATATATATTCCAAGTGGAATTCGAATATACAATATATTTTTAAAGATGTTGGAAAAATGTTTTCATCAGTCAATCACTCCACGAAGTACCCCACTCCTTTTATGAAGAATGAGATAAGGTCAAAAATGGTTCAATGCTGCGATATGTGTCTCAAACTTAACTTTCCAGCCTTGAGAGAGTTTGTAATCTATTAAGCGGTATTTCTGAAGATTTTCCTCCGTTTAGTTTTTTTTTCCACAGATGCAATGTTGCCATCCTGTCATTATTTCTATGGCAAATGTTCAGATAAAGTACATTCCGCTTCCACCAATTTGATTCACTTTCATTTTCCTCTGTATAAAAGAAAGCTCCACCTAAGGAGACCACACTATTCCCACTTTGGTGTTTCCTTGAATACTTTAATCTTGACCTCTTTAAGTCAAGAGTCAATAGTTATATATCCTATCTATTCTCATAGTCTTTATTTCCTACAATTTCCATTTCCATTTTTATTTTTTTTTTCCATCTCATTCCCCATTGCCATTTCGACTGGCATCCTCTAGCTTATGTTCCTCTCGAGTCTTGTGTTAAATTTACAATAAAGAGTCATAACGAGCTATCATATCGCGTATTTTTCATACATTTATCATTGTTTGCTATCAAGACATTATTTATTTTCCTTAGTTTCTATCTGTGTTTCTTTTTTATTTTTCTCAAACGAGGATATACGAGTATTGTAACGGATATCGTCGAATTCAGTTTCCGAGTTAGTCTGTTGTGTTCCATTTTGCCTTTGGAATGAATCCGACTGTTCTTTACCATCTATGGGTTAAATAGTAGAATAGTCTTGGATGGGAACCACTCTAAGAGAAACTCTGAATTCAATATCGCAAGCCAACGAGAAACTACTTCACTATCTTACCCTTGTTCTTCTTCTTGATCTTACACTGCACCCATCCAGTGCTGCACACAGAGCCTTGCCTGGGTTGCTAAGGTTTCAAGGTCATTATGAATCTTCAAGATTGGGCAAACCAGAAGATGCTCCATAGTTTGGGATTGACCGCATTGGAAGTTGGGATCATCATCGATGGCATATCCCTATTTCTGAAGGTTGTCTCTACAGCGGCCAAAAGCTTTTCGGAAACGGTTCAGGCACGACCAGAAGGGCTAGGCACCATTGGAGCCATTAGGGAGCAATTCTGTAGGGATGAGAATCTTTCCCCATACATAATAGTTCACAAATAGGAAAGATACTTGTGGACAACTGTCATGGGTCCTTACCTATAACTACAGAATTAACTCTTCCTAACACTATGTATACTACGCCTCTCAAGAGAGAGGGACGAATCGAGTCGAGCCGTTTTGGCTTGACGGTCGAACTCTCTGCCTCTGAGCAGAGAGGAACCCGGACGAAGCTCCGCCGAAGGGTAGAGCCTCGTTCGGGGCGGTTGACCAACCCGATTGTGTTTTTACAGCTTCTACGGGCATTTTTTGGCCGAGCCTATGGGCTCGGAAAACCCACGTAAAACTCGGCCACATTATTCCCTGGGGGGGGGGGTTGCAAGTAAATATCGGATCGAGTCGAGCCGATAGTAGTTCACTCCAAACCAGACTGACAGTCATACTAACACCTTCCACATCTTGTATTATTATTTCGTGTAATATACCTTCGTTATTTCTACCCTTGTGTTCGCGTTGTTCTTCCTTGGTCCTAACATGGACCATAACAACAACCATGATTTCCGACGTCATGAAGAACATAGTCATTTTTTTCTTAGTCAAGCTGTTTCTAATGAAATTAACGATTATAATAACAAGCCATTTCAAGTACAGCCTGCCCGAACCTGTTACGAATGAGGCCTAAAAACCATAACAAAAACAAGTTGTTGCAGGGCTTGTTTACACTCCCACAACTCTTCCTTTCAGAACAACAGTTAGAATCATTTTGTTTTAGCCAACGTGATAGGGAAAGAAATGAGTTTAGTTTTGCAGTCACAGACTTGCACAAGAAAATGTAATAGACTTTCAACTGTAAGAATCGTTCATTTTACAGATAGACAGTATAATGAATCAGTAATTTTCACCAGAATTTCTGTCCACCCGAAAATGATTTTTTAAGTGACATTTATTTTAGTGAAGAAGATGAATTTGCAACACGATATAAATTTTTGATAATTGGCAGTTTTTAGTTCTGAAATTCAAAAGCAAATAAAAATGCTAAGCGTGATAAATTTTGTCTTGCTGCAGGTACAAATAACATTAATTCTTCAACAAGCATAGAATTGCATGATTTGTTTGATAAAATATTGCATAAACTTTCTATTGAATTTTATTTGAGAATTTTGCAAAGGAACGCAAACGTTATGCTACAAATCAACATGAAGTCGGTTTTAGGGAAGTTTTTACAGACATGTTAATTTTCGAACAGTGCTTATTTTCAAAAGCACCCAGTGATTACTATTAAAAAAAAAAACAAACAACTTGTGACATCTTCTTGATCCTAGCACTCGAAGGGTGAAGAGTCGAAAGACTAAACTATGTCAAGTGTTGCTGTGTTTTTAATTCGATAAGAAATCGTTGAGAATTTTCAATTATTATTATTATTATGCTTTTATTTTATTGTCGTAAAATATTCCGGTTTTCATGTACATAAAATATATAATTCTTCATTCTCCTAGATTGGTTGCTGCCTCAATAAAGAAATGTTACAGGGAGATGAGATGAATTCATGCCTTTTCCAAGGGCATTATTTCGAAGTGAATGAAAAAGAAACCGAGTGGGAAATAATCTAATAGGTTATGGTCTCTAATGCAGACAATAGTCCCTACCCCATATATATATATATATATATATATATATATATATATATATATATATGTGTGTGTGTGTGTGTGTGTGTGTGTGTGTTTGTGTGTGTGTTATAATTATTTCATTTATTTTATTTTTTTAAATATGATTCCATCGCGATACAGAAATTACTATGTTTTGAAACTGTTCAGCAGTAATTAAGTTTAATTCCAATATTAAACCTTAACTACTGGGTGGCATTATATATATATATATATATATATATATATATATATATATATATATATAGATAGATAGATAGATAGATAGATAGATAGATATATAGATATTAATAAATATACATGTTATCCCTCACCGATAGTACGACTCGGAGTTTCATGTTCAACACAATCTTCAGGTGCTGAGTATAGTCTCAGTACTCCAACACCCAACAACTGAATATTGCGATGTGCATGAAAGTCGTAGTCGTGCTATTAATGAGGAATAATATGTATATTTATTAATATATACTTAGAGCTCCGTTGTATTATATCTATTCTTGTGAAGTCCTTCGTGGCCAAGTGTTACAGCATATGGTATCAAACTGAAAAGGGACGCAGGTTCGGTCGGAGGACACATTTTTGAATGCACAAGCCAAGTGGTGAGATACAGAAATGGGGCGTCCATTTCAAATGAGAATCGTCCGCTATAATAACATTTGAAGTATTATACATACAGTTTCTTTCATTCCCTATGGAACATTGGGGACTCCTTTTAACGCCGCATCCGAGGACGTGCTAATAGTTCGCTTTCAGTGGGAATATCTATCTATCCATCTTTGTTTTTATGTATCTATCTATCTATATCAGTGTGTTCGAATCTATCTATCTATCTATCTATCTATCTATCTATCTATCTATCTATCTATCCTATGGTCGTGGTACAGTTGGAAAAAGTAAAAAAGGAACTTCAAGTTGCGTATCGCAAAATTATAAAAAATCGGTAATGGATCGTTGACCCTTGTGTTGCAGGGGTCACAGACGTAGGGTCTCTCTCCTAGAATGCTTTTTTAATGTGCAAAACTTGGATAATGAAACTGTATCTTTAAACATAGAGACAACCACGTATTTATTATTCATTCTGTTTCTAATGGTGCAAAATTATAAATGCATTAATGTTTCAAAGGAAAATATAATAATTCGGTCTAGTGGTCTTTTTAAACAAAGCGACGTGACCGATCCATTTTGCGTTACCAGAGCACAGCATAAGTTAAGCTCGCATTTCATTGGCGCAAAATAAGACCTTTCTTGTGATGTCTGTGTTTATTATGAAATATTCCATTCACTCTCATCGCATTTACTGTTTTCGAAAATCCATTAATAGTATATTTGATGGATATAATCCACCATTCCCCAATCGCAGACAGAATTTCATAAATCTATAATAAAGGAAGTAAAAGGAAGCACTGTGGAATAATGGATTGCGGCTCGGATTGAGAAATCGTACAGCCAAAAAGATACCAGGGTCAAATAAGGAAGAAGTACAGAGTTCCAAGCAAGCCTGGATAGTGTACAAAGAAACAGAATTCGGCTAGTCGAGTTCAATTCCAGTTCGGATCTTTTAGTTTACTTCGCACTCTTGGAAAAGCCACGAATCCATCTCCCCGCCTCCAGCTGAGGATTAAATAGCATAGCAGACTTGGCTCTCTTGTTTTGAGGTGGCAACCAGTTTAAGAGAAGGAAAACTCTGAAATCAAAACCGACCTGAAGAAGGATGGGCTCCGTCAGGTATTACTGCTATGGCCGCAGTACATGTAGTACTCCTACGACCCTAACTGTTTCCGTGACTTGCGATGTGACTTGGTTGGCAACCAGTCTAGTAGAAGGAAAATGTCCGAATTCAAAACACGCCTAAAGAGGTATGATCTGAGTTAGGCAAACTTACTCAAGATACACCTCTGTTGTCATGGCTTTAGTATATGTATTGCCTAATAGATTATGCGATACGTGATGATAAAGTTCCAATGACATTTCTATACTAAGACCTTTGCTTAATATTTCTTCTTGAAGTGGTGGTACGTGTAGGTTATTTTTTTTGCAATCAAATACGCTAGGTTGCATTCTTATAAGATTATCGCTACAATCCGAAGTATTTTTGCTTTTAATTCTAATAAGTGTCTGTAGAATATATACTCCCACCACAAGTCCTACTTCCAAAAAAAAAAAAAAGAAAGAAAACGAAAGTAACAAAAAGTACTTAAAAGCTAATCCAACATGCAGACATATTGACTCAACAGAAAATGAACTAGAAAAACAAGTTAAATTATCATGGAAGAAACTTCAGCTTCAAATAAATGGTAAAAAAGAAGATCAGCAACAGACTGATTCCGTATGACATGAGTAAATGTGCATTCACCCAAATGGATATTAAAGATTTTTATCCATATATCACTAAATCTATATTACATAAATCCTTGTCTCTAGAAGGGAACATACGGAAATGACGCTCCAGTCGATATAAATGATAAAGAACTGTCAACTATTACTTCTGTTGAACAAAAGAGAAAGTTTAAAAAGAGAATAAAAAGTAAAAAAAATAAATAAATATATGTAACCATGTGAAGCCATGACGGAACGCGAACTGTCGGAATATATATCCGGCACAAACAAGCTACGATTATAAATATAATAGATTCCACAAAGATAAAGGGTTAATAATACTAAGAATTTAAAGCAAACAAAAATAGATAAAATTTATAATATTTTTTTTTAAAGAAACAGGTCATCAAATAAACATCTTAGATACAATATTTAAATCGTCACAAAAATGAATATATCACAGGGACAAAAAAAAGAAAAGAAAAAAAGACGACTACCCATTTTACATACACACTTCCGCCAACCCCTCAATCAGCATATTCAAAGAACTCTTACTCTCTATCAATCATAACATATCTGACAACAAGTCGAACAAAAAATCTTCAATGAGACTATTAGCAAATATGAAACAGTACTAAAAGACAGTCGTCGTTTTGAAAAGTTTACATTTATGTCTAACAGAACAAAAAACATTCAACAGAAATAGAATCTCCATATGGTTTGACCCTCAATATAATAAACATTTCAAAACAAGTACAGGCAAAAATTAATCAAACTCTTTGACAAACACTTCCCAAAATAAAATAAATCACGCGCAAAATATTAATAAGAAATACTCTAAAACTTCCCTATAGCTGAATGCACATATGGTAACTTAAAAGCAAAAAGCAAAATACTCTAAAAATATTGGGTCGGAACAAAAGTTCGTACCGTTTTAATTTCAACGACAATATTTTGATATTTATACATTGATTTATTCAACCACGTATTGTTCTCTCTTGTTCCAATACATTTGAATATTTGAACTTCTGAGCTTCGGAAATACGCATTTTTACTGCGCTGGAGGGTGTCGTCAGTGATGTAACTACTCAGGTCATTGGGTAGTTTCGGGCTTTGCAACATCATACCATCCTCGCTGAGTCGACCCCGTCAGAGCTGATCAGGCTCCGACGCACCCTGCTTCTGTACCACGCTATGCGACACTGGTTTTTATAATTGTCTCAGCCGACTTGTACTCGATACTAGCAGGATACACATAGGGAAAGTCCATAGCGCTCAGGTAAGTTGGGTTATTCAAAAAGTCAGAAGGAAGAAATTTTTGTTAATTTGTTGCTAGAAGATTATAGCCATCAGGGATGTAAGTAGGGAAAAAGAGTTCCATTGTTGGGAAATGCAAGAGAAGAAGCTGTTGAAGTAGAGGAGGCGGCTACATTTAACTGTCTCGACAGTGAAAGGGTGGGACCGAGATGCCAACCTAGTAGCAAGCTTAAATTCATGAAGTTGAGGTACCAGTGAAAGTAGCTCGTCAGAGCAGTTGCCATGAAAATTAAATATTGATATACATATGATTAATTAGGTTTTATTGATTTATATTTCTGATGAGGAAAGATTTTAAACATGATAATATTTTTATTGGTATTTTTAAATTATGAAAACAATTAAATTATTGGAAATACACTAACTGTTTTTAGCATTTCACCCCAAGCAAGGCGGCATACAAGAGGTTACAGAACATGTAAGTAAAAGAAAAAACGTGTGCTTGAGGAAAGGATAAAGAGAAGGGCGGGGATAACTATCAAGACATCAGAAGATGTTGATTGACATTACTTTTGAATATTTGAAGATTATAGCTAGTAGAGAAGCAATTAAGCGGAAAGGGGGTTCCACTGTCGGGAAGTGCAAGAGAAGAAGTAGAAAAGGCGGTTACATTTATATGTTTCGACAATGAAAGAGTGGGACCGAAATGTCAACTTTGTACCACATTTAAATTCATGCAGTTTGGGTACCAGTGAAAGTAGCTCATCAGAGCAGTTGCCATGAAAATACTTGTAGAAAAGACAGAGGGAAGCCACAGCACGTCTGTGAGAAAGTGACTGTAGACGAGATTCCAGATCAGGACCTATCACATTGTATATCCGTCTCTGGATTTTGTCTAGGACCTCAAGATAGGATTTTGTTCGACGTGTTGTCAGATATTTTGTGAACCATATAGAGTAAGACTTCTTTGATTATGCTGGTTGAGGGATTGGCGGAAGTGTGTATGTAAAATGGGTAGTCGTCTGTTTTGTTTTGTTTTTTGTCCGTGTGATATAATTCCTCCTTGTACTGGGACCATGGGAACGTGACAACTTGCATTCTAGTCCTGATTGTTCATAGTTGATTATTGAAAACTTAGTAAGAATTACGCAAAGGTATGTTTTAGCTAGGTAATTCATTTCTTCTACATGAAAACGAAGACGACGTCGACACAAAATAATTCTGTTTAGATGGAGTTGGAGATGAAGAATGTTTGCCAAGCTTACGGCCCGCCGTCCATGTTTTAATTTTTTTTTTTGAACGGTGGGATTTACTGAGTTATAGGTACAGACATATTAATACCGGGTTTTATTTATCTATACGGGATTTTTTTTTTTTTAGAAATCTATGACAAATACTGTATGTTTAAGCCAATTTTCATAATTAATACCAGGTTCTACGGGTTAATATAGCTTTTAGCTAAATACGAGAAAATTTACTGTAGAAAATTGATTTTAATGTAATCTGCTTTGGAAATCCTGACTTAAAAAAAAAAACCCCCAAAAAAAACAACAAAAAAAAAAACAAAACGAATTTAAACTCCGCTTCCTGACCTAGGCGAAAATGCAAGAAATAAATAAATAAACCATTTTAACCACTTGACAAGGTTAATTAAATATAATCTGCTTTCATTACTTATTTTTTGTGATGTGTGCATTGCAGAACCCTCTTATCCATGGTTTCATACGGGAGGTTTCAGTTGGGCGTGGTCAACACTAGAACTTAACAATTCATATGTTTTTACTTAAAAAGAGCAACAGTGTCATGATGGAAATTGAGATTATGCCAAATAATGATTGTGAAATTCTTCCATTATTTTTTAAATGTTAACCTTATGCAACACGCCCAAGATTCACTCAAGGTAGAAGTTTACTGAGTGTAGTGTGCGTTATAGACGTACGGTGAGAAATTGGGAAGTGAGAGTTATGAGGATAAGGAGGATAGGTAACGATTGAATCTAGTTGTGAAAAAGTTAGGTTTGTAGTATTTGGGGAAGCATCCATGTGAGAGTTCATTCCCCAAAATAGCTATTATTGGAAAGAAAGCTGTCTGAGCAGAACTTCTTACTTACAAATGGAATACAAAGGGAATAAGCGTAATTGAATCCGGAATGCAAAGAATAAATTTTCAACCTTATTAGAGAACAGTACTGCAAAAAAGAATCCTGTTTCCGTTAAAAAGCGTTATATCTTGTTATAATTACGTTTGTTTTTTTGCATTATTAGCTATTATTGTTAATATCTTTATAATAATTGCCTAATGTTTTATCAA